GACCGCCGCCCAGTCTCGTCGGCCCCGTGTGGGGGGTTCGGTGTCGCGCCCGTTGGGGGCGTCCCAGGAGTGAGGAGGAGAGGGAGGGCGGGGAGACAGGAGGAAGAGCGGGGGTGGCAGCAGGAGGAGGAGGAGAAGGCAGAGGAGGAGGAGGAACTCTCTTAGACAGGACCCTTGAAGCATACCATGACGACGTGCAGTCAAAAGACAGATCTGGTCTAGCTGTCGGCAGCGAGGGTTTTTAGTGAGTCGATTGAGTTTTCCCCTTGTGGATTGAAGATGGATATGATGATGGTGATGATGTTGATGGTGGTGATGATGATAGTGATGATGGGCGCTGATCAGATTATTCCACCCATCTTGCCCATCATCATCATCAGCATCGTCACAACATCACCACCATCAGTATCATCACCAACATCATCAGCATCATCATCGCTCGCCGTGCCCCTTAGTCCTCATCCTCCTCTTCCTCCTCCGTCAGGCCGCATCGGCTCGATCGCCTGTCGCCGGTCGCCAGCAATGTCCAGCGTTTCCGCAGTGTCGAAGACGAGTCCTGCGGCAAGTCCGAGTCCGCCCACGTCGAGTGCGCCCCCGTCGAGTGCGCCGTGTCAGGGATTATGTTGGCATCATTTTTTGTGCGTAAGGCCAGAGAAGCCGATCGACCTGAAGGCAAAAGCAAGGGTTCTTATTGCTGCTTGGCAAGAGGCTGCGCTGAGTCGCAAGAGGCTGAGCTAAAACAGCGAGGGGGACTTCATGCACACCCCCGCCTCTGTACAGGGCGGGTGGCGGATGCCGGGAAGCGTCTTCGAGGTACGAGAAGCGAGCTGGACGTTGTGGATGAATTTGCATCATAGATTTAATAATCTCGTACTACTAGTGTGTGGCTGGCTGCGCGAGAGACAGGGTTAGCCGATCCCCACAAATGGCGATTTCGTTTGAGATTTGGGTTTGTCCGGGGGTCAGAGGACGGGGTCGTCTGTAGGAATGGCCCCAGAAGGAGCAAGGAAAGCGATTAAAACGGAAATCCGTTTTCGTTTTGGTGTGAAGGTTTTTGGGGTCATTTTGTTATTTTGAATTTTGTTTGGTTTAAGCTGTGGCTCCAGACTCGTGGCTGTTGGTGTGCACTGGAAAGTGTCGCTTGTTTTTTCGCTACTGCAGATACGTCGGTCTTCGGGGTGGGTTGTCCGATGGGTCAGTCGCGGTTGCCGGCTTCGACTAGTGCCCCGGGGCGTCGGTGCTCGGCCTTGGTTTTGCAGCTGCGTCTTGCGATGCAAGTTGGTCTTCGGCCTCGGAATTAGCCTTCGGCCTCGGTATTGCGATGCCGTCCGTGTGCGACCTCGGCCCACATGGTAGAACAAAGAAGATCGACTTCAGATTTGCGACGGGGGGGCGGTCTTGCTTTTCTGAGTTCTGCGTGCACCATCGCTCGCCGACAGCGCGGTTCCCCTCGGGTCCCGCGACGCGTGGTTCGTTCTATGGCCCGCGGCGCCAGCGGCCTCGCTGCTGCGGAGCACGCGAGCACGCGCTTGTCTGCGCGAGTTTTGTTTCGCATCGCGCAGCGCGAAGCACGCGAACGCACGAGCGCACATTTTAACAGCGAGGTTTCGATGTCACGCGCTGTTTGCGCGGGGACTCGCGTTGCACAGCCAAGGGAAGTGGGCGAGTCTTGCGAAGAGAGCACCGCGCGCGCGTCGCCGAGTGCGTTTCGCATTGCGCCCAGCTGCCAGAAGCAAATCCCTCAACCGCGCCAGTCCAGCACTATGGGCGGCGACTGTTCGAGCGATGATAACGACGATGGCGGCGACGAGGGCGGCGATGATAAGGCGAAGGGGACAAAAATTAGGCTGCCACACGTGCGCACTCCCAATCAATTTCTTGAAGAGCCCTCATGGAGCTCAATTGGGCCGTATCAGGGCAGTCTTGGGTTCCTGTGGGGCCGTCTCGCGGGCCCCTTGCGGCTTCCTTGGGTTGCTCTGGGCTCCACATGAGCCGTCTTGGGTCTCTCTTGCGCTTGCGGCCTTCGTCGGGGCGTCGCGGGGTCGCCCGGGTCCGTCGGGGGTCGAGGGGCCCTCCCGGGCCGTCTTGGATCCCTTCGGCTGTCTTCGTAGGCTGTCTTGGGGCTCTCTTGGAGCCGTCCTGTGCCGCAATCTGGAGGTTTCTCGGCTCATTCTCGTGGCGTCTTGGGCCGTCTCAGGGCAACATTGGGGGCTTCGTTGGCCGTCTCGGGCTGATTGAAGCCGGGGGCGATTATGTCCCCAAATCATTGAAGCGCCGTATCAAAATCAGCGAGCGTCGCCCCTAGGGTCTTTCGGGGTCCTTTTGGAGCCCTCCTGAGCCGTCCTGGGATGTATTGGGGGCTTCTCAGTACCATCTTGGTTCCGTGCTGGGCCTCCGCGGCGCCGCGTCGATCCGTCTCGGAGCCATCTTTGTCCGTCCAAGGAAGAATCTGAGGCCGTCTCGGCGGCCGACTGCCGCCCGGGGCCGTTTTGGGAGATTTGCAGAGCCACAGGGAGTCAACGCGGTCGCCCGGGAACCCTCGGGAGAAGGGGCGGCGCGCGGGAAAGCGCGCGGCGGGGCGGGCGAGCCCCTTTCAGCGAATGGAGAAACCCTACCAGACAGCACATGGCATTCGCACGCTCCACTATCGCGGCGGCGCGGCGCCGCCAGGCGCGCGCGGGCGAGATTGAGGCGGCCTCTGCGCCGCCGCGCGCGCGACGGCTAGAAGTGCGCTCGCGCTGGATTTCCCGCGCGCGCGACGGCCGGGCACCTCCGCGCGCGGAAAACGCAGCGCGAGCGGCCTTCCGTCGGACGTGCCTCTGGGGCCGCTGGCGTCTCCCAGCGCGTCGTGGCCGAGTCTCGCCCGCAACTTGCCTTCGCGGCCCCGTGCGAGGGAGGCGGTTGCGCGGTCAACCTGGGGCGGTCAACCGGCCTATGGGCGGCCGGTCCAGGTCGGTCCGCGCGCGGTTGGGCGGTCAACTCGGGCGATCAATTCGGGCGTCCAACGCGCGGCCGGGCGGTCAACGCGCGGCTGGGCGGTCAACCTGGGCAGTCAACTCGGTCGGTCACGGCGCGGCGGGGCGGTCAACGCGCGGCTGGGCGGTCAACCCGGGCGGTCAACTCGGTTGGTCAACGCGCGGCGGGGCGGTCAACGCGCGGTTGGGCGGTCAATCTGGCCGATCAACTCATCAAAGCGCGCGTCGGCCGATCAACTCGGCCGACCAACTTGGCCGACCAACTGGGCCGATCAACTCGTCAACGCGCGCGCGCGGTCAACTCGGCCGATCAATTTGACCGATCAGCTGGGCCGATCAATTCGGCCGATCAACTCGGCCCATCAACTCGGCCGATCAACTCGGCCGATCAACTCGGCCCATCAACTCGGCCGATCAATTTGGCCGATCAACTCGGCCGATCAACCCGGCCGTTCGACTCGGCCGATCACTTCCGCCGGTCAACTCGCCCGGTCCTGTTGGTCGGTACTTTCGAGCGGCCATCTCGGGGGGGGTCAACTCGGGTCGTAAATTCGGGCGCGGGTGCCCGCGCGCGCCGCGGGTGTCTGGGCGCTTCCGCCCACGCACGCCGCCAGCGCATGGGTGCGCTCACCCGCGCTCGCGGTGGGTGCCCGAACGGTTTCATTCAGAGCTTCCCAGGCCAATGAGCTTCGCGTGGCCCAAAGTTTTTTGGGCCCGTTCGGTTTCGGGCGATCCAGAATCGCCCGGGCGATCGAAGCCACGGTCGACCCAGGGCATCCCAGACCGTTGCGCTTCGAGCGATCCAGAGCCTACTAGACCCCTGCACTGGGACCCTCTGGCGGTTGGAGTTTACGCAAATCGCCCGGCTGGCGCCGAAACACACTGCGCCCTTCGATAATCCTTCGTAAAAAAAGAAACGCTCGCGCACTGCGCGAGATAGGAGTACAGCGCAGCGCGCGTCGCCCAAGTCGCATGGCTGACGCAAAGACAGGGAAAGCCCTGGCAATCGAAGTTCGCAACAACCGTTCGGCCGACGCCGAGGCAACCGCTCGGCCAGCGCCTCCGCGCCGCCGCGCGCGCGGAAGCGCTGAGCCGAGCGCGGAGGCATGCAACGGGAGCGACCTCTGCGCCGCCGCTCGCGCGGCGGCGCAAGCGCGCCGCGCGCGGTTTCTGCGACGCCGCGCGAGGGGGCGCCGTGCCGTCGTGCGCAGAGGAACGCAATGGAGGCGGCCCTTGCGCCGCCGCGCGCGCGGCGGCGCTGGGCCGTCGCGCGTGGACAAATTGCGACATGGCCAGCTTCTGCGCTTTCGCTCGCGCGGCGACGCTGGGCCGTCGCGCGGCGACGATGGGCCGTCGTGCGACGGAGTTGTAATTCGCGAGCGCGCCATTGGCCGCCGCGCGCGCGGCGGTGATGGGCCTGCGTGCGCGAGGAAACGCAGTGGAGGCGGCCCCTGCTCCGCCGCGCGCGCGGCGGCGATGGGCCGCCGGGCTCAGAGAAAACGCGACGAGACCAGCTTTGGCGCTTCTGTGCGCGCGGCGGGCTGGGGCCGTCGCGAGCAGAAAACGCAGCGCGAGCCGTTCCCGCGCCGCCGTGCGCGCGGCGGCGCTTGGCCGTCGTGCGCGGAGAATTTTGACGGTGGCGACCTTTGCGCCGCCGCGCGCGCGGCGGCGTTGGGCCGCTTGCGTAAGTTTGCGACGGGGGCGGCCCCTGCGCCGCCGCGCGCGCGGAGGCGCCGGGCCGCCCCCCGCGGGAAACGCAGGCGTTGGGCCGTTGCGCGTGGAGAAATGCAACGCGGGCAGCCTCTGCGCCGCCGCGCGCGCGGCAGCATTGGGCCGCTTTGCGCAGAGAGATATCGACGTCAGGCTGTCTTCTCAGTTAGCGCGCTACGGCCGCGGGGTTTGCACCGCTGGCGCCCGACAGCGTTTCGCGGAAACGCGGGCCTGTTGTAGGCTGCCTTGTCTGGTCGTAAACGCGGCTGTGCTCGACGGGCGCTGGTTTGCCCAATGATGTGCCAGTGTGTTAGC